GAAACCGCGCGATTGCAGCATTTCTGATACGATGTGGGTTAAGAGATACTATAAATCGCACGATTGAGAAACGATTCATGTGGCATCACATCTGTTGGCGGAATGCTCCATCTACACACCACAGAATTTGGCTAAACAATAAGTACCAAACTTGATTATGACATCACTTATCTTCTATTTAATACAGCATCTAAGGAAAGGATTTTCGTATCGCGAAATTAATTCTAACCCTCTTTGTCTTTATATTAGCTTCGCTAGGAAGAAAAAGAGTATCGGGTGATAAATCATTTTTCCTCGAGCTAATTGACTATCTGTTCGATTTCAGGTGTGAAGAGGCGCAAAATCGCGCGAATGAGATGTGAATCAAATGCTACTCTTACACTATCGGTTGGTGGTACAATCTATTGTCCATAAATAAGAGAGTTTGTTTCTACAGACAACACATTAACTTTCTCTGCTTTCATCAATGGCGATTCTGATATTCTCTAAGTATCTTAGCAAGACTGATATTGGAAAGAGGCTTTCAGTCCCGAGCAAGTCCCTGAAACATCTTCCTGCTTTCAAGGAGGGCCGGCACACAGTGGATTTTAAGGTAAGGGATGAGAACGGTCATGCCTGGACCTTCCGATGTTCTACTCGGACAAAGAAGAAGCACCTGAAGCCGGTTCTTACCAAGGGGTGGAGGGAATTTGTTTGCAAGAGGAGGCTTATTAGTGGTGATAAAGTTGAGCTTCACAGGGATGAAGAGAAAGATTGTATCACGTACCGAGTGAGGGTGGGGAGGCCAGTAAGAGTATTTGGGGTTGTGTTGGGTCATGCACCCATCCCTTTGCCCTGTTTAGACCATAAATAGATTGTATAAATTTTGTTGTATTAGTATATCTTGTAGTAATGTTTAGCTGTCAAAATTCAATTTAAATTAAAGCTTTTCTATTGATAGCAGACTAAATTCCTGCAATCTCAACCAGTGGAGAATTGCTATTCTTTAGCAGACCTAAATGGAATGACAAAAACAGGGCCAATGGCTAAGGCTCCTTCTTGTGATTCATTTCAGTCTTAGAAGTAATAACTCAAATAGGGTTATGTAAGGTGTTTATGTAAAATTCATGGATATCAAAGAGAGAACAGTTATATTTACCAGCAAAAAAGAAAAAAGAAAAAAGAACAGTTACATCACACAGCAATCTCCATTGAAGTAACAAGCAGTTTAGAATTATTGAATGTCAAGACTTAAAGAGTAACATTTGACAAGCAACAAATGCATAATCAAATAGC